GGCTTGACAGCCAACCCACCCCCCCCCCTTCAGAGCCAGGCCCTTTGTCTGCTCCTGTGCAGCTACAGACCCCATACAAAGCACAGGGATCGGGCAGACAGGGCAGTGACGGTGGCCCTGTCACACCGTGTCACTCGCCAGCAGGCAGGGCACGCGTAAACTGCCGACAACTGCATCGGCCCTCCACAGTAGATTCTAACCAACTCTTTCCTCTATATCAATCGGTGCCTTGCATCAGCAACTGAGTATGGCAAGAAGAGAAGACACACGACGCACAAACGTCAAAAATGCCTGCGAAACAACAAAGGTGAGAGTCCTTTCCTAAGAGTACATCTCTTCTAAGCAAGCATGGGGGTGGGGTAGAACCTTGCAGTGGCCACGCATCAGGCATCTACAGGGGCGAACGTGCACAGTGGCATGCAACACACCCGCCCTGCTCTGCTGCTGGGTGCCATATCGTTGCTCAACATGAGTGCGATGGCCTCGCACATTTGTGATGTCAACATAAAAATGATGCTGAGCGGACAAAGAGCGTAGAGCCACACAACAGCATGAGGGAAACTAGACCTCGCCCCAATGTCAGTGGAACGCGTCATCGTCAAGCAGGCAGGGCGACAGGTGCGGGTGGTTTGCGCGCGCAATGGCTTGGAATGCGCGCTCGCGGCCCGCACACGCCTTCAACGCCACCTCAAGCGCGCGGGGCGTGAGCTCTGTGTCAAACGTGCAGCCCTCCACTTGTATCCTCCGCAGCTGCGGCGCGCGAGAGAGCTCCAGAAGCTCCGCAAAGCTAACCCCTTTGACGCTGCAAAGTCGCAGGCGCTGCAACGCGCCGCACGCCAACAGGGTGTTAAGCCAGCCTTCCAGCTTCAACGCACACTCCGGGGGCCCCGCCACGACACACAGCCGCTCGAGCGTGGTCAGGGACGCGACGGCCTCCCAGGCCACGATGCCGTCATACCTGCACCACGGGGTGCCGAGCGTGAGCACGCGCAGCGCGGGGAACACCGCGTGCAGCGGCTCGCCGGGATAGGAGTCGCGGTTGTAGAAGCTGGCGTGCAGGGTGTGGAGCCGCGGGAACGACGGCGGGGAGGGCGCCGGGCTGACCACGTGCACAGCCAGCACCTCCAGGTCAGCAGCATGGGACCGCAGGCTGCCCAGCGAGCCCTGCACCGCGGGGCGCAGCTGCATGAAGCTGCCTTTGTGAAAGACGTAAAACGCCAGCCGCCGCAGGTGGGGGGCCGCAGCAAGGAGCCTGCGGCTGTCAAAGCCGTAAAACCTGGCCTCCGCCTCCTCATCTTCGCTGTCGTCGCCGTTATTCTCATCAGGCATGTCGTTCGCCTCCCTGGCGCAGCCTGTAAGCTCCGTCAGGCGCGTGAGCTGCAACGAATGGCATCCCAGTGGTAGAAGGTTAGGCGCTGTGGAGCCCTCTGCAGCCGCGTGGGCCTGCCAAGATGTGCCATTGCTCTGCACAAGTCCCAATGATGCTGCACGCAGGGAGAACGCCTGAGGCGGGCGATGGGGCTGTAGTGCACTGCGAGTGCCAACCTAAGGACAGCAGAGGCAAGCATGCAACCTGCGCGCACAAGGCGCACCGTAGCAGGAGGCAGCGCACCTGCTTCAGAGAATCGTAGAACACAGACAGCCCGTCGTACAAATGAGGCTTGATGCCCAGGTCCCGCGCCTCCAGCCACAGCAGCTGCAGCGACTCCAGGCCTGTGCAGGCGCCCACGCAGTCCAGCCATGACGCGCCGCCGATCCCAGGCCAAGTGCGACTGCGGCCTGCCAGGTGCAGCTTGCGAAGCCCGGGCGGCAGCCAGCGACCGCTGGCGGCATAGGCACAGCCGGCGAAGCGGAGGCTTGTGAGCGCTGCCAGGCGGCCCAGCGGGGAGAGCAGCAGCGCTCCTGCGTCCTGATGTGGCTTGAGGTCCAGCGAAGTCAGCTGAGTCAGGCAGCCGACGGTCGACAAGGCGGCCAGGAAGGACGCAAGGGCCATGGCAATTTGCTCTGGGAGCCTGTCGGCTGACAACCGCTGGAACCCAGCACAGTGCCTGCGGTACGTGTGCGTGCGGGGCAGAGAATGGAATGGTTATACATGAAGGCTTTGAGTGATTTGGTTTGCCCTGACAGTGGGCATGAGGTCCAGTGCAGCAACAAGTGCGGCCGCCACACAGTTGTGACGAGTTGTTGGCGAGCTTGCCTGCAAGCAGACACCGGCTCCGCACCTGCCCACAGCGCCCAGAAGCTGCACCAGCGCGCTGGCGCAGTCCAGGCGGGGGACGGCCAGCACCACGAGCTCCAGGCTTGGCCACTGCTCGCATCGCTCGGCGACGTGCTGCATGGCCGCGGTGGCGTCGCGCGACCCTTTGAAGACGAGCTTGGTCGTCGTTGAGTTCACCAAGCTCCGCAGGCCTACACTCGACGCCCGCAGCATGCGTCTGGTATGACCATCCTTGATGTGAGCCACGACCAGGCGCAGGATGTCTAACCCAAGCACTGGCGGGGGAGCACCGCCAGGAGCGGGGCGCTGCTGCTGCTCCGCCGCTCCGACATGAGGTGCAAGACTGTTACTGGCCATGTGTGAGATATTCAGAATTATTTCACTAGATTCGAGACAGAGGGTCCTTGTGCTGCCCGATCGGGACTCAGGTTTGAATCGGCGCGATCTGGGTGGGCGCAATTTGCTACGGTACACCAAAAGAGCCTCGCTTCTACGCGTAGCCACGTTGGTTGTTTAAACTGGTAGGCATGCTTCAGACCAGCTGCAGACCCAACCCAACACACACAGCCATTTGCAGCTAGTGAGTAATTGATCTGGGCTCCCGTGCAGTGACACAACGCCACTGCCACACGAAACTCTGTGTCTGTGGCTGCCATGCCTTGCGCTTGCGTCTCATCAGGTGTTGTGCAGGACAAGTCTGCTGACATGGGAACCCACGTCAGCAGACTCCAAATAGCCCCCCCCCCCCGCACGTGACGTTAAACCCGAATCCGTCCCATTCCCCTCCCCTGGCGCTGCATGATGGTGAGATGCGGTGCTCACCCAATTGCTGCGGGAACCTGCTGCCTCCATCACACACAGACACATATCAGCATTGGCTGATGCTGATATGTTCCTGTGTCGCGGACTTGCTGCTCTGCAAGTTCACTCGTGCAAGTCCGAGCTCTGTGCAGTGTGCATCCTTGCATAGCTCGCTGGCATTGCACCCGCTGTGGCACGTGCACCGGTTGTTGCCGCGCATATGTGTCGGCTCTTGATATCGGCTCCTGCGCATTAGTGCATGTGGAGGATTTGGGTGTGCAGCTGTGGAGCTCCGCCGCAGCAACTGACAGGTTTGAATTCATTTCAAAGGATTATTATCAGCGTCATCGCCAAGAACGAAGCGGCTCGACATCACATGCAAACAGCAGCACCTGCTCTGTATGCGCTGACAAAGCGATGCAGCGACTGTTGTTGGGCCAGCCGCTCGTCCAGTCCGTCGCGCCTGCAGCGCTGCAGGCGGCAGCGTCAGCACCATCGGCTGCGCATACATCTCGCCTTCGATGCGCCCCGCCAAGCGCACAGACAGTAGGATACCTTTTTACATTCTTTGCGCCCGGCCATGTGTGCGGTAATCAGCACTAGTCGACTGGAGGAGATTTACGGACGGTGTTTTCTGCTTTATCTTTGTCACTGGAACTAGGTCCAGGTCCTCTCGCTGTCGTTAATTGTGGCTCCCTGCTGGCTTGGCCTTCCTGCTGGTAAAGGATTGGATGCTGATGTATCCCTGGGTTGCGAATTTGGCGCCACACTGCAGCTGCACCTATTCAAACGGTCTCAAGTGTGCGTCGTAGCATGCCTCTCAGACATTGCGCCCGCCGTTGCACATGTACTTGTTGCTGCTGCGGGATTGCGTCCTGCGTAGTGGTGCCGGCGCCGGATTCAATCGTGCAGCTGATGAGCTCTGTTCCAGTGCCTGACAGTATACAGTCCAATCAACAAGATTGTCCAGCATCACGCACGCTGGTACTATCCTCACACAGCTCCTGCAATACGCAGGGCTCTGCCAAATGTTCAAATGCAGCGGCAGCACAGCACGGGCAAGTGGCGGAAAGCCGGAACGGCGCTGCCCAGTCACAAACACAGTTTCTTGAAAGCGTCGGCGTCACCCAGATCAGACACACACTCGCTGCACCTGTTTCGGCGGGGGATGTACGGTACGGTACTGTAGGCCTGCAGCAATTTCTGTCAAGTCGACAAACGGAGGTGGCTACGCTACGAAGATTGTGAGGCTGGTTTCGGTGCATCATAGCAAAGTGCGCCATTCCTGAGGATTTCCGTCTGGCGATGATTCAAACTTGAGTCCACTCGAGGAGCAGTAGAGTCCCTGGTCTCGTCTGGTGTTCTTGTGGTGCAAACAAAAGATACTGCGCCCATGGCCAGCAACAGCTTTGCCCCTCAAGTCGGCGCGGCAGAGCAGCAGCAGCGCGCCACTCCTGGCGGTGCTCCCCCGCCAGTGCTGGGTTTGGACATCCTGCATCTGGTAGTGGCCCACATCCAAAGATGGTCATACCAGGCGCATGCTGCGGGCGTCGAGTGTAGGCCTGCGGAGCTTGGTGAACTCGACAACGACCAAGCTTGTCTTGAAAGGGTCGTGCGACGCCACCGCAGCCATGCAGCATGTTGCCGAGCGATGCGAGCAGTGGCCAAGCCTGGAATGCGTGGTGCTGGCCTACCCGCAAATGGACTGCGCCGGCGCGCTGGCGCAGCTCGTGGGCGCTCTGGGCAGGTGCGGGGCTGTTTGTGCTGCCGGGACAGCTCACACTCATCACTGCATCAAACACAAAGGCGGTGGCAACGGTCGCTGCTGGACCCCCAGGCCCACCGCCATGTCAACCCAGCTCACTCGCAGCCTGCACGTACCAACACCCAACTCTCCGCCGCGCACGCGCACGCACCGCAGGCACTGTGCTGGGTTTCAGCGGGTGTCGGCTGACAGGCTCCCACATGGAATTGCACTGGCCCTGACCTCCTTCCTGGCCGCCTTCTCCATTGCCGGCTGCCTGACCCAGCTGACTTCGCTAGACCTCTCGTCAGCCCATGAGTCAAAAGGACTGCTGCTCTCCCCGCTGGGCTGCCTGGCAGCACTCACAAGCCTCCGCTTCGCCGGCCGCGCGGATGCGGCCAGCGGCCGCTGGCTGCCGCCCGGGCTGCGCAAGCTGCACCTGAAAGGCTGCGGCTACGCCTGGCCCGGGATCGGCGGCGCCTCATGGCTGGACTGTGTGGGCACCTGCACGGGCCTGGAGTCGCTGCAGCTGGTGCGGGTGGAGCCTCAGGACCTCGGCATCAAGCCTGCTCCGGACGACGGGCTGTCAGTGTTCTACGACACCCTCAAGAAGGTGCGCTGCCGCCTGCTATGCTGCGCCTTGTGTCCGCAGGTCGAATGATTACCTCTGCTGTCCTGGGGTCAGCACTCGCACTGCAATGGAGCCCCTCGCCCGCCTGCAGCGGTCTCCCTGCCAGCAGCGTCTTCATGGCGTGTGACAACCTCGGCTTGAGCCATGGCGACCCACAGCTTGGCTGGCCCGTGCGGCTGCAGAGGGCTCAGCAGCGCCCGCACCGTCCCCCGCGACACGGCCTCTCGCAGCTCACGCGTCTCATTGAGTTGATGGGCTGCGCGAGCAAGTCGAGCGTCGCGCTTCCAGCAAACGGCGCTGACATCGACGACGAGGAGGCGGAGGCCAGGTTTCACGGCTTCGACTGCGCCAGGCTGCTCGCGGCGGCCCCGCACCTGCGGCGGCTGGCATTCTACGTGTGCGATGAGGTAGAGTATATGCGGCTGCGCCCGGCCGTGCAAGGCTCGCTGGACAGCCTGCAGTCTCACGCCGCGCACCTGGAGGAGCTGGCCTTGTGGGTGTTCAGCACGGCGCCCTCCCCGCCGTCGTTCCCCCGGCTGCACACCCTGCACGCCAGCTTTGACAACTGCAATAACTATCCCGGCGAGCAGCTGCACCCGGTGTTCCCCGCGCTGCGCGTGCTTACGCTCGGCACCGCGTGGGGCGGATACGACGGCGTGGTTGTCTGGGAGGAGGTGGCGTCCCTGACCACGCTCGAGCGGCTGTGTGTCGTTGGGGGGCCCCCAGATTGTAGACTGCAGCTGGAAGGCCGGCTCGACGCGCTGTCGGCGTGCGGCGCGTTGCAGCACCTGCGACTTTGCAGCGTCACAGGGGTCAGCTTTGCGGAGCTTATGGAGCTCTCGCGTGCGCCGCAGCTGCGGAATGTGGTTGTGGAGGGCTGCACGTTTGACAAAGACCTCAAGCCGGACGTGCTCGAGGTGGCTTTGAAAGCGCGTGCGGGTCGCGACCGCGGGCTTGTTGTCGCTGCTCGCGCGACCCACCCACTCCAGGTGCCCTGCCTGCTTGATGCTGACGCGTTCGAATCTCACTGGCGCTACGTACAGGTCCCCTCATGCTGTTGTTGATTGTCGCTGCATGCCGCCTTGTGTTTCCTGCGTTAGGAAATGACTGAATGGGGCCGTGTCAATGCTCCTCGACTTGCTGCACTGCAGCTGCGCTTGTGCAAGTCCGGGCGGACTGGGGTGCGAATTGTTGGACGCTCGCTGGCCTGGTGCCCGCCGTTGCACGTGTACAGGTTGTTGCCGCAGGGTTGGCCTCTGCGTATCGGTGCGTGCGCAGCATGTAGTTGTCCACCTGAAGAGCTCTGTTGCAGTGCCTGACAGGATCCACTTCAATCGACATGATCCTCAGTTGCATTTGCGGGTCCGACACTGGTAATACCTTACACAGCTACTGCAATATGGAGGGCTCTGCCAAGTATTTGTTGACTGTGGTAGAACAGCGTTGACAAGTGGGGGAAGTCATCACGCCGCTGCTGCGTGCAGCAGGGGAACAAGCACCAGGCAGCTGGCGCCGCAACCGCACTGTACCGTACTGGTGACAACGCTGGTGACTGCGATTGCGGGTGTCGGTGCGGATGTGACCCCTGCGAGTGGCGGCACATGCCTGTCTGACTGAACGCGAGAGTGAGAAGCACGCATTTTAGGCATCATAGTAAATCACGAAGCATCGTATTTGACTAGATCGCCGCACCTTTGATCCGGGCGGGCATTGGATTGCTTGGTTTCTGCCGCAAAAGCAGGTTTAGTTAGTATCTTTGATATCCGGAAGCTGGTGCAATCATGACGGACGTGTCCGAGATCCGCCGGGTGCTGCAGGTGGTGATGCCGCGGCGGCAGGCGCCGTGCCAGCATGGGCCCCACCGCAGAGCTGCCGCTTCATGCACATCCGCCTTTTGCAGCGCCCTCATACGACCAACCCGCCATGCGGCAGGTGTATGATGCAAGCAGCAGCGCAAGCGGGCGGCAGGCGGTTGGCATGCTTGAGGGCATCACGAAGGTGGTAGCAAAAAATCCAGCGGGGTTTGACCTGGTAGAAGACCCCGGTGAGCTAGGGGCCCAGCAGCAGCAAGGAACACACACACGCGCCAAGGCGTTGGGGCCCATTTCAGGCAAGGAACACCTACACGCGCCTACGCTGGTCGTCCAGTGTACGCGCAGCGGCGCGCTTTACACCGTGCGCGGAATGGATTGTGGAGACCGATCCTTGCAAGATGCCTGGCCAGGCGGCCCCAAACCACCCGCGCACGCACGCCTTGCCAACCGCAACGCAGCCGACGCGGAGGCCTGGAGGTCAGCCGGCGGCGAGTCATACTGCGAGAACCAGCAGTTCCCCTCGCTGTTGGTGGAGCGGTGGCTCGAGGTCCTGGGCCAGCCAGGTGGGGGCAAGCGCGCGGCGGACGGCGCCTGGGCGCCGCAAATGAGGCGCGCGACAACACAGGAAGGGGGGAGGGTGCGCCGCTGTGGCGCCAAGGCAGCACCCTTGCTTTGGAGCAGCTTGAACACATTGACAAGGAATGCTGAAGGGCGGCGGCAGGCAACACGCCATATTTGGGCAGCGCTGGATTGAGCACAGCATTTCGCAGGCCTGCCAGCCATTGCCGTCGCCAGGCAAGCTTGTGCGCCGCTGCAACAGCCCCGCTTCCCGCCTCCGCCGGCTCGCATGGCATGGGTGTGTATGCACCCTCCCGGGCCCCTGAACCCAGTCTTCAGCCATGCTGGCTATGACAAGGACGAGCTTGAGACCCTCAAGGCCAAGCTGACGGGTGGGTCTGTGGGGTGGACGCGCCCTGGAAGCCCAAGGGGCAGGGGCAGTGCAAGTGCCAGAAGAGACTCTCATGGCGGGATGGCACCACGAAAGATTGTGAAGGCGCACGCTGCGTCTCCACAAATGCACCAGCCCACATATCACCTGAATGTGCGCGCGCGCACGCGCGTGCACACACACACACACTCCCTCTCTCCCTCTCTCTCACACACACACACACACGCACGCACAGGCTGGATGCTGAACCTGACAAACGCTTCCCTGGAGGTTGAGGGGCAGCAGGAGCTGCTGGACCTCCTGGATGACCTCATCAAGGCCGCACCAGAGGCGGACGACGAGGACGAGGATGAGGAGGATGATGATGAATGAGCCGGTGGTTTGAAGGGTTTGGGGGCTGATCTGGGTGATACTGTCCGTTCTGTTTCCGGCTGTCGCCGTGCTGAAAGAGCGCGGCGCTGGTATGGTATTCTGGCCTGCTGCGCCCTCAGCGGCGGGTCAGCTGTCAGTGCGTGGTCAGCCATGGGTTGCAGCACATGCAGTGCTCCGGCCAATAGACAGCTGCCTCTGCTTAACCCGAGTCGATTGTTACGTGGTGGCTCTGGTGCGTGTATGCATATGCCACGTGGCCGAATGAATGCGTTGGAAGATCAAAGTAACAAGTTCCCAGTAAGTGCTCTCAAGGCCGACTGACCATAAACACGCCCTGGCTTCAGTGGACACGAACGCTGCATCATCAACTGCCATCCTCCTCCTCGGTATCTTCTGCTTCTTGCGTGCTCTCGTCGGCCCCCCTTGCCCCAGCCCCGTCGCCGCCCTTGCTGCCGCCCCCACCGCGCGCCCCGGCGCCCGCCCGCCCTGGCCCCAGCCCCGGCGCCGCTGACGGTAGCACCGCCAGGTGGCGCATCGTGGGGCGGCCGTGGGGGCAGTTCCAGGGCGCGTCCAGCTCGGCCAGGCGCGCCAGGATGCGGCGCATGAGGGGCGGGTCCAGGGCGCGGCCGATCATGATGGAGGAGCGGCACGCACGGCTGGCCAGCATGGAGCGAACCCTAATGGGATTGCGTACGGTCGGGAAGCAGGACGAGAATCAGGGGCCCACAGGGCAATCTGCTGGGTTCAGGGTTTGGGGGTGGGAGACACCATTGTACGCATGCCTCAACATAAGCAGACACCACCAGCACTCCCCAGCCGAGGAGCCAGCCAGCCGCCCCCTTCTCCCGACCGCTCCTGCGTGGCCCCCGGCCCGCGGGCCCCCCCAGCCCGCCCCCATGCAGCCTCACTTGTTGGGCCGCACCGCCTCGCGCCGCCCCTCGCCCGCCGCCAGCGCCTCCACCATCTCCGCCACCTCGTCCTCACCAAACTGAACGCCCTTGCTGTAAGGCACCGCAGACAGCAGCAGGTCACCGCCCCCGCCGCCGCCGGCGCCGCCGTCGCGGTCGCCGTCCCCTTCAGTGCGACCGGCTCCGGCGCCGCCGGCCGCGGCGCGCAGGGGGCGGTGGCTGCGGCCATCGGGCAGGACCTCGGCGAATTGGAAGCCGCTGCGCTCGAATACCTCCAGGTGGTCGCGGATGACCTTTTTATAGGGTTTTGGATAAGGAGGAATTGAGGGGTGCAGGGTGGGGCTCGAAAGGGTTCAGGGAGTTTGCGCGGGTGTGGAGACGTCAACGCAGGGCCAGGGCGCAAGTGGGGCATTCGTGAGTTGCGCCGCCAGCGATCGAGCGTTGGCAGCAGTGATGGAATGGAAGCAGCGCTGGCCAGAGGGCCGGGGATCCGGCGCTCGGCGCGGTCGTGACGCAGCCTCAGCCCCGGCTGCCTTGCGTGTGGCAGTCGGCGCGCACCTGGAAGTCCAGGGGGTTAAGGTTCGGCAGGCGCTTGGGCTGCAGCAGCGGCTGCTTGTTCAGCACCAGGGACGCCTGCAGCCGCTCAAAGGTGCTCTTCTCATCTGGCCGCGCAGGGGGGAGGCGGGAGCAAGGATGCAAGACGCAGCTTGAGCAGCGGCACACACGGGGCGGCACGGCGGGTTCCACCATGCGGGCTGGTGGTGGCACTCCCCGCGGCCCGCAAGCAACCGCCTCCTGCTCGCGGCGCGACGGCGCCCATCTCTCCCTAGTCGAGCCTCCGGCGACAGCTCCCGCCCGCCGCAGCCCTGGCCCTGTGAACCCCGGCCCCTCCCCACGACGCTCGCTCCGCAAACGGCGGCCCCACCCGCCGCGTGCTGGTCTACGATGAAGAGGTCGCGCCCCAGCCGCCCGATGATGAACCCCAGGTTGAACTGCCCCACGGGCGCCATGCGCCCAAAGTCGGACTTGTCAAACACGCGCGCCAGCTCCTCGGTCGCCGCCGCGTGCTCAGCTTCGCAGTCCGCGGCGGCACGCGGCGGGGCGACCTCCTCGGCGGCGGCGCCGTCGATGGCATCGAAGAGGCCCGCGCCGCCGTCACTGTCGCCGGGCGCGGCGCCCCCGGGCGCCGCCTGCAGCGAGGCGGCGTGCAGGCGCGCGCCCCGCGGCGCACCGGCGTCGCGGGTGCGAGGCGCGGCGGCGCGGCCGCCGTCCGCCTCGGCGG